GAGGCCAGCCGAGTGGCACGTTGGTTAAGAGTTGGCTTGCGACGCCAGCTCTGAGCAGCAGGGCACCGGTTTGGGTTCCACATGAGGGCCAGTGACACTGTGCCCTCTACAGCTAAGATGGTGAACAACAGCTCAACTTGGAGCTGGGCAGCCGTGAGTCGACGGTGACAGCGTAGGCCACAGTGGGCTGCCATGAGCTCCAGTGAGTGGCTGGCAGCCGGTGTGAGCTGCCGCGAGTGGCTGTCCAATGGCCGGCGAGTGACTGCCTCACCTGGGAAGAGCGCAATGATAATACTAACATGGGCCAGTGAAGCGACGTCCTCCACAACTAGACTAAAGAACAAAATGACAGCAACTTGTCTGTTTCCCTTCCCCGATTCCCCAATGCTGTTCCCCTCCCCCAATTCTCCAATAAAATCTTAAAAAGAAAAACAAAAAATAAACAAATGGGACTACATCAAACTAAATAGTTTTTCACAGCAAAGGAAACCATTAACAAAACAAAAAGACATCCTACTGAATGGAAGAAGATTCTGCCAATGATATATGTGATAAGGGGTTAATATCCAAAATTTATAAAGAACTCATACAACTAAACACCAAAAAAACAAACAATCCAATTAAAAAATGGGCAGAGGACCTGAACAGACATTTCTCCAAAGAGGACATACAGGTGGCCAATAGACATAATGGAATGATGTTCAACATCATTAATCATCAGAGAAATGCAAATAAAAACCACAATGAGGTATCACCTTAATAAATGAACAAACAAAACAGAAACAGACCTATAGATACATAGAATAAACTGATGGTTACTAGATGGGAGGAATGTGTGTGTGTGTGGGGGGGGCTAGGTGAGAATGGTGAAGGGATTAAGTACAAATTGGTAGTTACAAAAGAGCCACGGGGATGTCAAGTACAGTATGGGGAATATAGCCAATAATATTGTAAAAACTATGTATAATGTTAGATGGGTACTAAATTTATCAGGGGGACTACTTCATAAATTATATAAATGTCTAACCACTATACTGTACACCTAAAATAATATTGAATGTCAACTATAATTTTAAAAAATAGTCACAGGGATATATAGTACAGCATAGAGAATATAGTCAATGATATTCTAATAACTACAATATGTACAATGTCAGATGGGTAACAGACTTATTGGAGTTATTACTTTGTGAGGTATATGAATGTATAATCATTGTTGTTTCGTAAACATGAAACTAAAATAATAAGTTTCTTTATTAGGATGATAGTATAAATACGTTTAAGATGCTGCAATGGAAAAATGAGACTGCATTTCTGTGGAGGCTAGTGGCGATCTTTCCAATTCAGTCTAGGGCTCTTTGGACTCAAATAAATTGTTCTGCATGACACAAAAACCAAAAAAATCTAAAAAAAATAAAAAGCAAAAAAACTGATAGTAATACAGAATAATTTTTTAATGGCAATTACTCTAAAAAATTTAAGTCAGCAACCTTATGTTAGTGCTTTCATTAAAAAAACAAAAAACAAAAAAAGAAGGCTCTCTCTCCATCATGTATGGATAGTGAGAACGTGGCTATCTGCAAGCCAGGAAGAGAGCTCACCAGGAACTGAACACTGCTGGATATTGATATCGGACTTTCCAGTCTCCACATTATGAGTAAACAAATTTATGTTGTTTAAGCCTTTGAAGTCTGTAGTATTTTGTTTTGGTAGTCAGTGTTGACTAATAGAGGCGGGAAACTGGAAACCTGGGGGATTAAAACCTGGAGTTTCCTTTATTCAAAATCCATGCTGGTGCTTAGCTGGAATTTCAGTCAGAGCTGTTGGGTAGAGTAATATGGTAAACTTAGGGTTTCCAAGCAACCAAGTGGGAGATGTATAGACTTTGACAAAATAGTTCAGTGTTCTACTGTTTCTGGTTAAAATATGACCATGATATCTTCAAGACTATATCTGAAAAGCATTTGCTGTTGAGGCAATGCTTTCATACGCAGTATCTCAAATGATCCCATGAAAGTCCTAGAGTATTCTTTCCTGATTCCATTTTAACCACCTCCTTTGATAAAATTTAGTGATTTGTTTGATGTCACTTATTTAGCAAGAGACACATGTGGGTTTCATCTTTAGAACTTCTATATAGAAAACAAAAAATAAAAAAAACTATAGTCAGACTGGATCAGTAGAGCTCAAAAATCACTTCCAGCTCTATCACTCCACAAATCTAAATTTTCATGGCGGAAGACTTAAAATAACAAAAAACGCTAAAAACAAAAACTTATATACTTTTGTTACAAAACCACTGCATGAAAAATTTATAAACTACAGACAACTACAATGTTTATTAACAATGTACGTATTTCATTTAGGAAAACACTCGGAGAGTCAATATTAAAGAAACTTCTATTTTGGCTTCCCCAAGGGACATCTCTCAATACTACCACTACCACAGAACCGTTTTTATTGTGTCACTCTCCTGCTCAAAACCCTTCCATAGTTTCCAGAAACTCCACACTTCTTTTTTTTTACCATAACACTTTTTTTTTTACCATAACCTACCCAGCAGCTACCCACTTTCTATTAGAGACACGATCTGCTCCAATCAAATTTGATCACACAACACACACTGACTCTATGCCTTTGCCCTGACCCTACCCTTTCAAAAAATGATATTCATCTGTTCAAGTTGAGAAAGATACTAGCTCCTTCAGGAAACTATCCCATGGTGCGCAGGCAGAAGTAATAATGGCAACTTTTCTCTCAACTACTGTAATTTGTTATTGCTGCAGCAATTCATACAGACCACCTCACTTGGGGAGTTAATTGTCTACACTTCGCTCCCCCACTATATTGTAAATTCCCTGAGGGAAGGGACCTTTGTCTTACAAATGTTTGTATCTACCCTCTTCTCTCAGCCAGCCCCAATCCAAATACTTAGCACTTAAAATACAAGAAATAAAGACATGAACAAATGAAATGGAGTGCTTCAGAAAGCCTCGTTTTCCCTACACCTGCCTGGAAATCACTGCACATAGAAATTCACTCTTTGCACAGTAACAGATGGTACCAGACTTAGTGTGGTGATCGCATCATAAGATATATTAACGTCGAATCACTATGTTGTACACCTGAAACTAATACAATATTGTACTCCAACTACTTAAATATAAAAAAATATATAATAAAACATTAACTGTGAATAGCCCAGATAACTGGAATCTCAACAAATTTAAACTCATGTCTTATCAACTGGTTGTTTCTTCTTTCATATGCAGTGTGTACCAACACCCTACCTGTACAAAAGCCAATTTGAGAAGTTACAAAAGAGCCACGGGGATGGCTCTTTCCCAAATGGAATGTCAAGAAAATGTCAAATAGGGGATTTCTCCAAGATACAATGCTCAGAGGAAGACAAATGCAGCAGAATGAGAGAAGCAAGGCAGGCATTCTGTAAGGAAGCAGGCAGTAAATGGCTGACGGTCCCAAGCTATCCTTTCCTCATTCTCAGAAGTACTTCACCTTAGTATACTCACACTCCTAACCAGAACCTAAAAACGGGGTCAGCCTCTTCCTAATACCAATAAAACCAGACAATGATGACGAAAGCCATAAGCTTATTATGACATAAATGGAGGAGGAAAACAGAGAAAAGTGACGAGGTACAAAAATGAGCAGATATCAAGTGCTCTCACCAGTTGTGCAGGAGGCCTTAGTGGCACCCCTCCATCTGCTTTCTGCAGAGACAGACTTCTAATTGAGCCAGTCTGGACTAAGGTATCAAGGTGCAAGTTGTTAATTAACAGAAACTTTTTTTTTCCTTTTCTCACACCCACTTGCATTTTGAACTCGAAAAATAAGCATTGGACAATGGAGTCAGCCCTCGCATAGCTGTCAATTTTGAGTGTCATTCATTTCACATATGGTTATTGAGCGAGGCATTTTGTTAAGATGATAAGAGGTGCACAAACACAGGAACCCATCCCAGCCCTTAAGGAGTTCCCAATTTAGTATAACTTAAGCATCAGTCTCCAAAGGAATTTACAGAACCCATCCCCAACCCCAGGTTATTATTGGATACAGCATTTTAATACAGCTAGTACCTCACCCAAGTCTTGTGATAGAAGAGGCCACACCAATAACTTGGGAACAAAATTTTATTAAAATGCTGAATAGTTTCTCAATCGCAGGATTTACAACACTCTTTTTAAAGGTAGTTTTAAAATATCCCCCAAACAAGAAAAAACAAAAGCAAAAGGTGAGAATTCATTTAATAGTATATCCTACATCAAAGTAACCTGTAGCTAGCGCTTTTCAATCTTAGCTGCAATTCAGAATCACCTATGGAGCTTCTAAAAATCCTAACCGCCAGCCAGGCTGTACCTCAGACCCATGAAATCAGAAGCCGCGGGAGCAGAACACAGGCAGCACAGTTTTTTCAGATCTTCAGGCGATTCGATGTGTAGCTAAGGGTTGAGAACCACTGCTGCAAATCATTCTGCCCTTGAAATTGAGGGGAGAAGACTAGGATCCGCAAAGCTCAAGGACATATACCCTATCTACCGCCCCCCTTACACACACAGGCCAGCAGCAGTTTTTCCAGATGCATTTTTGTTTCATGGCTCTGGCAATAAGCTCAAGCGTAGAACACAACGCTCTTCCACCTTGAGGAGTGAGGATGAAGGAAAGTTACGTTAGTTTTAACCACCTACGGTATCGCTAATTTTGCACCTGGGCTCGTACACCTTTGAGCTTTTGTACCTTGAGCTTTGGGGACCGCAGGGAAGACCCCGTACACTTCTTTCATCTAAACCTGCAGGGATCCGGACCTCAGAAGCGGGAGGGAAGGCGGAAAGCGCAGCGCTGGGGGCCCATGCTCTGGGCCTGGAGGGACGGATCGTACTAGGCAAGAGCACAGGCTTCCGAGAGGCGGAGAGCAAGTGGGGCTGCGGATGGCAGCGCTGCAGAGACCCAGGCGCGAGAAGCGGGGGGGGGCCGGTACTCACACAAGTGCCGCCCAGCTTGTGGCTCTCCACCACGGCGACCCTGGCGCCCAACTCGGCCGCCCGGCGCGCGCTGGCCAGCCCGCCGGAGCCGCCCCCGATCACCAGGTAGTCGTAGGAGGCCTCAGCGGCCGGCGGCAGGCCCTGCGGCTCCAGCTCCTGCCTTAACGCCATGGCGCGGACGCGGACTTGGGCGAGCGGGGACTGGGGCAACGGGAAGCCGAGGAAGGCGCGCGCCGCCTGCCGCAAGCTCTGCCGCGCGCTCGCGCTCGGGGGCCGGGGCAGCAGGGCCATGCACGCGGAAGTACGCGGAGCGGGGAGGCCCCGGGGCGGTACCCTGGGAAGGAGGGGGCGCCACCCCCGGGCAAGCGCTGCCTCACGGTGACTAAGCACGCGACCCGGGCACAGCGGGGAGTACAGGGCGGGGTATGGAGCTCTGGGCCGCGGCTCTGCGGGACCCACCCCCAGGCCGTTCACCTGAGCGCGAGCGGCCCGCCCAAGTCCAAAGGGAGAAGCTTGAGGAGGGTGATCTCTTCTCTGTATTCACCCCAGCGCCAGGGCTCCGCACCTGAAGGGCATCAACCGGATGTAGGTTTTTGAAGGCCCTGGGGCAAGGATGAATGCTTTTATTTCACCCCGACTTTCCTGCGCCGGCACCTTGAGATTTGCCAGTGGCGCCAACTTCTAGAAGATGGGAGCGTTTCCTTCCATTATTTTGGAGGTTGATGTTTCACCAAGTTTGATCCGCATACCACCTGGAGTGCTGATCCCTGGGCCCTAACCCAGATCGACTAAATAGGAACCTCTAAGGGTCGGACCCCAGCAATCTACACTTTTTTTTTTTTTTTTTTTTTTTTTTTTTTTTTTTTTTT